AATTCAAATCATCTATTTTTAGAATTATATATGAAAAACAAATGATCTCAAGGGTTTCAAAGCCTTAGTCTATGTTCTTTGTACTATAATTGTGCTTTAAAATAAATAACTAACCTATCTTTTAACTTTTCAGGCATAAAAGTCTCAAAACAAGAAATACTGGGCAACAAGGACAGGCACCATCTTTAGGGCAGCAACAACAAGTACTTCCTAAGCACAAGACCAATGAGAAGCAAGAAAAGAGTGAAAAGCCGCAGAAACGCCCCTTGACTCCTTTTCACCATCGTGTATCTGTTAGTGATACCATTGGCATGGACACAGACTCAGCCAGCCAAAGACTTGTGGTCTCTGCTACAGATAGTCAAGTGAGATTCTCAAACATCCGAACTAATGACATAGCAAAGACCCCTCAGATGCACGGGACTGAACTGGTGAATTCACCTCAGCCTCCCCCACTTAGTCCTCATCCGTGTGATGTGGTTGATGAAGGAGTGACTAAAACACCTTCAACTCCCCAGAGTCAACATTTTTATCAAATGCCAACACCGGATCCCTTGGTTCCTACCAAACCAGTGGAAGATAGGATAGACAGTTTGTCCCAGTCTTTCCCACCTCCATTTCAGGAAGCTGTAGAACCTACCGTGTATGTGGGTACAGCAGTAAACTTGGAAGAAGATGAAGCTAATATAGCCTGGAAGTATTACAAAGTCCCAAAGAAAAAAGATGTAGAATTTTTACCACCTCAACTTCCAAATGATAAATTCAAGGATGATCCAGTTGGACCTTTTGGACAGGAAAGTGTAACATCAGTTACAGAGTATGTATTTTTTTTTTTTTTTTTTTAATAGTCACTACTTTTAAGTTAAGAGTAAAAGGCAATGTAACTGCTTAATGCTAGGACTCTAATATTTTACAGGGTCGGATTTATAAAAATAGATATTCTGAGTATTAAATTTGAATAATTTCTTTAGCATGTTTATCTCTAAAGGAAGATTTCTATTATGAAACCATTTAGCCACAAACATCTGGAGAAAGTAATGTGTAAAAGCTTCAGTATCTGTTACCCAACCAAAGCCTGTGACTAGATTCATCTGTTCTCCTATTACTCCTTCTACTGTCCTTATGCTTTAGTTAATTCATATCATTGCTTTGTGGTCTTGTGTTACTTGTGGATATGCTGTAGTTTGTCTCCTCTTTTAGATGACATCATATTGTCTGTTCTGATAGCAACAGAGTAGGTGGCAGTGAACTGGGGAGGGTGGGTACATACTTCCCTGTGTATGGATTTCTTTAGTAAACATATCTGAAGAGGAATTGCCAGACCTTCAGATATGTTCATTTTTAGTGAAAGCGTTAGTTAGTGCCAGGTTACTCTTTAAACAACTGGCTTATAATTTATATCATCAGGAGCTAGTAGACCTTGAAAATACTGTTGATTTTCATTTTCGTCAGTTCTTGGCATTATAAGATTGTTTTGACTGCATGAAGATTGGCAAGGCTATCTTAATGCATATTTGTAGGTTTCTAGTGGATTAAACATCATTTAAAATGTTCATTAAACAGTTGCTGTTCCTCTTCCGTGAATTACCTGTCTAAATTTTAAGATCCCTTTTCCTTTTTTGTTTATTCTTTGCATATTTTTTGTGCTAATCCTGTACTAGTAAATGTACTATAGATATCTTTCTACATCTAGTTTGCTTCTTTCTTCACTTTATATATAGCATACTTTGGTGAGAATATAGCTGGCTTTTTGGTGGGGGGGGGTGTTCTTTACTGTCTTTATTGCTTGGAATACCTACCAAGCCTATCCAACAATTTTAATGTGTAAATGTTTTAGTAGTACAAGTCAACCAGCAAAACATCTTTATATTCCATTTTTTAAATTTATTTTATGTGTATGGAAGTTTTGTGAAAATGTATCTCTGTGCACCATGTGTGTACCTGATGATGGCAGAACCCAGAAGAAGACTTTGCATCCCCTGGGACTGGAGTTGCAGACAGTTGTGAACTGCCATGTGGGTGCTGGGAATTCAACCCTGGTCCTCTGGAAGAGAAGCCAGTGCTATCTCCCTTATCCCTTCTATTACTCTCTTAAGGTTACATGATGTGTTAGATTTTATTGGTTGCTTAAGAATTGCAGACAACCTCTTTTTTTTTGTTGTTTTTGTTTTATCTGTAGTGCTAGACATAGACAAATCCAGTGCTGTATGAATGCAAGCAGCCTGTCACTAAGCAATAGCCCCAGTTCTTGGTTGTTTTGTTTAAGTTTGTTTGTTTTGCTTTATGTGCATGGGCCATTTTATCTTAAAACACATGCATTCCTAGTGCCCTTAAAAGTCATTGGACACTAAGGTTGTGAACCTCCATGTGGGTACTGGCAATTGAACAGAGTTCCTCTGTAACAGTGACTGGAGTGGTGGGGGTGGGGAGTGCAGCACCTAGAGCTAACTTCATGCTTGAGAGAGAACGCTCTGTTTCTTCCTCATGGTCTCAGGTGCTTACATAGTTGGAAAAACTTGTTTAGTAATGAACTATAGAAATTATGCCTGAAAGTATAGTCTTTTAAAAAAAAGAATGGGTTTCATTATGCCATCTTCATACAAATATCTCATTATATTTTGTTATTTGTTCCTTTTCCCACTGTGCTTCCTTGGACTTTCCATCCTGTAGCTGGTTCTTTTTCTTTGGATAGTATCCTGTTTTTATTTTTCAAGACAGGGTTTCTCTGTGTGTAGTTCTGGCTGTCCTAGAACTCATTCTGTTAACCAAGCTGGTCCTGAATTGGAGAGATCTTCCTGCATCTGCCTCCCAAATTAGATTGAGATTGAAGTTGTGTGCTACTACGGCCAGCGATGTACCATACTTTATCCATTGATGGACGTGTAATCTGGAATCATTCACTAACTGTTGTGTAGGAATGATCCTGCCATAAGCATACTTGGGCAAATATCTTTGATGGATCATATGGCAGCTTTATTATTAGGTTTTTGTTTTTGTTTTTTTTGAGGCATCTCTGTACTGATTTCCATCATGGTTGTATCAGAAGTGAATAAGCTTTCATTTTCTCATATTCTTGCCAGCATTTGTTACCTATTTTTCTTCCTTCTTCCTTCTTCCTCCTTCCTTCCTTCCTTCCTTCCTTCCTTCCTTCCTTCCTTCCTTCCTTCATTTTTTGGGATAGCCTTTCTGACTGGGATGAAATAGTCTCTCAAATTTGCATTTTTTTGATTGCTTAGGAAAGTTCACCCATCTTCTATATCTTCTATTTGCTTTCTGATTTAGTCACATCTTCCTTGGCGGGGGGTGGGGGGCAGGCTTAGGCCTCATGGTCATTCAGATCGTATTAGAGGGAGTAGAGGACCATTTACTCATCATCATCTGGTGTTGCTTGAAAGTTGTAGGGAGTTTTCCTGATTATTCTATCCAAGTTACCTGTTTTCACTCTTCTAAATCACTGCTTCTTCTATACATTCTTCTTTTAAAAATTTGTTGCTAATATTTTTCCATGTCTGAAATTATGTATTTATTAATGGAGTCTTTTCTCTGTTAGAATGTAAGCTCTATAAGGGCAAGAACTCTCGTTTACTGCTATGCTTCTCTTAACACAAGCACGGCATACAGGTAGTTGCGGACCTAGAGTAACCCTGTGTGCATTGTAGACCGCATAGATGTTAGATGAATCAAATGACAATGTGAGCTGGGCAGTGGTGACACATGCATTTAACCCTGTCACTCAGGAGGCAGAGGCAGAGGCAGAGGCAGATAGATTTCTTTGAGTTCCAGGACACCTAGGGCTACACAGAGAAACCCTATCTTGAACTCCCCCATTTCCCCCCGCCCCCCCCAAAAGAAAAGGCAATGTGGCTTAAAACTACTCTTTCCTTTCCAGGTTAGATTTTCTTACTTATTATAGAAATGTGGTGAATGACTTTTTATCTAGCCATAGCTTTAAACTTTTAACCTCAGAGTCTGTTATAAAATTACTTGACATTTTTCTTGTTGAATACAAATGAGAAGAAGCATAAGGTAGAAAAACAGCATATGGAGTAGAATGGTGCTGGGTCATGATTATGTAAGTTAAGGATATAACATGTTTCTACTTCTACATATTCCTGACCCCCCCCCCTTGCCCCTTAGTCATGTCATAGAAAGGGGGAAAAACTTGAATAAGAGGTTTACTGTTGGTTTTATTTAAACATTTAAAATTTTATTTTGTGGAGTTTTATGCCATCATTTTTGTTGTTACACCAGATAGTAAACTTTATATTCTGTCACAATTCCCCTTTAGTTCTAAGGCTTGTTTTTGTAGCGTAATGACATCTCTTAAAGTTAACTAACTAAGGTTTTGATTCTTATGTTAACTCAGAATCACTTATAGAATATGATAGTTCTGCATTTGGTAGGTTAGAAGTAAGAACAAGAGATTAATGCTTGTTGCCTTGTAGTTCTCTCCTTTTACCTGGAATTAATAGAATGACAGTAATTCTAGCTCAGTCCTCAGGTGACATTTCCCAAAGTCCACTTTTAGTTGTTATAGCTAAAGGCGTGGTTTTGATATTTGGTTGGCAGAGACCAAAGATGCTGCTAAGGCTCCTCACCGCCTCCCATGTGGAGCTTCTCTTTGTAGCCTTGGCTGTCCGGGAACTCACTTTGTAGGCCAGGCTGTCCTGGAACTCATAGAGATCCGCCTGCTTCTACCTAGACCAGGCTGTCCTGGAATTTACAGAGACCCACCTACTTCTGCCTCCCGAGTGCTGGGATTAAAAATGTGCACCACCATGCTTGGCCTGCTAAGGGGCTTTTAAGTGTACGTGGTAATTCCCTACACAAAAAATAATGCAGCACAAAGTGTCATGTTGCTTTAATGTGCCTTAAAAAATCCTTTATTATAAAACATTTGCAAATAAATAGAAACATCACATACTAAAATTAACCAGGCTTAAAGTCTATACAACTTAATGAATTTATTTACAGTTAAAAGTGAAATAAAATATATTTGACTCCAAAGTGTTGAGTTCAGTTCAGGGCAGCTTCCCTGTTCTGTTAATTTAACTTTGGAACATTGAAATTGGCTGAGGGGAATGACTGAATAGAGAGTATTACTCTATTCATATAACTCTAGTCCACACAAATAAGTACTTTTTAAAAAGTTAAATATATTTGATAATGTGGCTTTTAACAGAAATTTGACTTCTAAAACTGTTGTTAAAATTAAATGGGCCAAATGTATATAATCATTAGTTCTATTAGAATTGTGAAATATCTGGCTTGGTCATTGGTGGTGCTCTGAAACAAAAATGTTGTATACAATGACTTGGTAATTCAGTACCGTTCAAAAGAGCATTGTCTGATTGTAAAAAATGCTAAAACAGATGATGTCCCTTATTGAAATAAGTTTATGAATCACTGTTAGGGTGTGTTTTTTTTTTTTTTTTTTTGATGGAGTTATTGTTGAGACAAAGTTTCTACTGTGTAGCTCTGGCTGTCTTGGAACTGACTATTATAGACTAGGTTGTCTTTGAGCTCAGAGATCTGCCTGCCTCTGCCTCAGAAAGTGCTGGTATTAAAGGCTCAGGCCCTTTAACAATGTCTTTTTGTAGGAACATAGACCTTTTTTTTTTTGCAGGAGGGGGTTGGTTTTCTTGAGACAAGATTTCTCTTCATAGTCTTAGCTGTACTGGAACTAGCTCTGTAAATTCACAGGAATCCTCCTGCCTTTGCCTCCCAAGTGTTGGGATTAAAACTGTGTGCCACTGTGTCCAGCTAGAAATCCTTAATAGGGGGATGGCACAGTGAATAAGAACATTTGCAAGTAAGCCTCGTGAAGTTTAAATCCCCAGCACTGGTAATAGAAAGCCCTGGTGTATGGCTATGTGCACACCTATAACCCCATAGTTTTTGGAAGTGGAAGTGGAGATGGAAGGATTGCTGGGGCCTGCTGCCTGCCAGCCTACCAGTTCAGTGAGAGACTGTCCCAGGGAGTAAGGTGGAGAGTGATAAAATAGACATCTGGTGTCCAGTTTATAAGATTTCCCCCCCTTTTCCTTTTTTGGTTGTTTTGGAAAGTAAATCGTTTAGACCCCCTCCCCTCCAGTTTCCTCTCTCCTCTCTTTCTCAGGATTTGTCGAGATAGATCTGGCTGTACTGGAACTCACTCTGTAGACTAGGCTGGCCTCAAACACAAGAGATCAACCTGCCTCTGCCTCCTAAGTGCAGGGAATAAAGGTGTGTCGTTTGGACATGTTTTTTAACAGCTCAGACTGCAAATTATTTTTCACTGGGGATGTTTAGATAAAGTAACTTCAAAATAGAAGTGCATTGAAATAACTGATAAACTTAAGTAAGGTCTTGGTAAATCGTTAAGGTCTAGCTAAAAAATAACAGCATATCATTATAAAGGAAAGGGAATCTGATAGAAGACATTCTTTAGATACTTGTAAACTTTAGATCTGAGGTGTATACATACATACACGATCTTATGCATTATGGTTTTTGGTTACTAATTAGATGATATGATTAGTGACTATTTCCCTGAAAGGGAGGGATTGACATTCTGTTTATCTGTCTGACTCTTATGACTTAGTAATGTGTATGTAAGACATGGACACTGTAGAAATATGATTTTAAGTTTGAAATGCCAGCAATTTGTACATGTGTCTTAAGCTGTTAATAAACCAGTGAGGCATAGGTGACACAGGGCAGGGATGCATCTGAAGATTTATTTTCTTTATGAGTTTTTTAGGTGTTTCCCTTCACAGCTAATTCTCGGTTGGAGGAGAAGCCTAGGATTACTGTTTTCAATTTGCTGTAAAGAAATGTTTTACACTGTTGGTACTTCAAGTATGGTTCTGTGCCTCTTGAGTAGATAAATGACATATGTGAGTGAGTTCAGTTGAAAAGGTACTTCCTTAGCATGCATGCATGAAGCTGGGTTCAATCCCCAGCATTGTACTGACAGGGTCAAGCATGGTGGTATAGGTGAATACATTAGAGGCTAATCTGGACCCTATAAGATTGCTCCCCACTCCCAATCCCCCAAAAAAGAAAGAAAAGTAGATAAGTGAGAAACATTGTTCTTTATATTCTACAGTGTTGTTTTGTTTAAATTGACTATCAGTTCTTTCTGGGACTGGACTTTCAGATGATTGTGAGCTGTCTTGTGGGTGCTGGGGATGAAATCTGTATCTTTAGGGAGAAGAGCCAGTGTCCTTAATAGCTGAGCCATTGTTCAAGCCCCAATATTCTACAGTTGTAATAGTCTGGCTACCTAACTAGCACAGAGGAATGTAGCTCATTTTTATTCATTAAAATTGCATTCTTTCACGTGTAGCAGTTTATAAAAAGGTTTTCATGAGCTTTGGTAAAATATGATTCCTTTTCTAATGTGTTAGACTTTACTAGGAGGAAGGGAGAGTTGGGGATGCAGCATATTATATCCCATATGCAAGGTGTATAGATCTTTGGCAAATATCTCTCTTGTCTTCCTAGTATTTTGGATTTGTTAGTTATGGTTGAATCTGTTTTACAATAGAGGCCAAAGACCTTTTAAATGTGGCTTGTTTGTTTGTTTTTGTTTGTTTGTTTTGTTTTTTTCTTTTGAGACAAAAAGAGTTTTGTTGGTTTTGAATCTGCTTGCCTCTTGTCTCCTGAGTGCTAGTAGTTTACATGTACTCTACCACATTAGGCCTAGGGATTTAAAGAGTAAAGATAGTCTTTGTGGTGCAAACCTTTAATCCCAGCACTTGGGAGGGAGAAGCAGGTGCATCTCTTAACCGGTTTGAGGGCAATATGGTCTATAAGGCAAGTTGCAGGACAGCTAGGGTTACATAGAGAGACCCTATGTCAAAACAAACTAACAAAAATGTTCCCCCCACCCCCTTCTCTTTTTGAGATAGGATTACTCTGTGTGTAACCCTAGCTATCCTGGAACTTACTTGCCTCTGCCTACCAGTGCTGGGATTAAAGGCATGTGCTGCCGCTACCACCTGGCTCTAACAAAAAAAATTTTAAAGATAGGAAAATTCCTGCTAATTCATATATTTTTTTCAAGGATTTTGCAATGTTGTAATTGCATTTATGGATGCTTAAAACCACCTGATGTTGCTTCTAAACACTGAGTAAAGAAAACTGCACTTGAGTCTAGCTCTTCATATTTTGTACTATAGTTATGATACATTAGAATCTCTTAGTTATATTCATCTATAGAATATATGTTATATTAGATCCACCAGATGTTTATTGTATGTAATTAGTTTAAAAAATGCATTATTTGATCTCTGAAAGGTAGTTTTGAATGGCTTTGTTTCATAGGAAGAAGCCTATGATGAAATAAACTTGTTTTGATTTGACTGTACTCAACCTTTTAATAATTCTGTTTGTTATTTTTTTTTTAAATGCAATAAAGTCATACTTTTGACAGCTCGAGGATTGCTTCTGAATATGGAGATGGTACTAGGGATAGTACCAGTTAAAGAAAGTGGGAGGATTTTGAGATACTCAGTTTTTCTGTTTTTAACATTTCCTTCTATATCTTTTCTCCTATAATTGTCAATGCATATTGTCAAACCTTGTCTGGAAGAATTCTTTTGAATAAAGCATAAAAGCATATGCTAAGTTTTATGTGAGTACATATCAAAAGAGTGTGCTGTTTTCTTAGTGAAAGGAAGCAGATGCAATTAATGAAAACTAAAGGCAATTTATTTCATAGTTTTGGCTTTTCAGTACTTCCTGTTATTACTGTACCTGATTTTCCAGCTTGTGTTTAGCTTTGTATCTAATTGAAATTATCTTTGTAGTTAGAAATTTGGTTCCATGTGGAAGTTCCTTTTAGAAAAGGAGGGGTATATTGTATTCATAAAAGCTTCTGTGAACTATATATTTGGATAGAGGCATGATAATTTGTTTGAATCTGGCATTTCAGAAGTTTATACCTTTATTAAGATTTTAATATAGACTAATGTATAATGTTATTTTATATTTATTGTGACTTGATATTAATGACTACATTTAAGATATTTGCATATGCCAATGTCTCTAAGATCATTTCAATAAAATAACAAAAGTTGTCTTTTGGCAGTACCCTTGATTTACTCTTTTTTATCCTTAGTAGGGCCCTGTGCAGTAAGTTCATCCCTTTAATTATGTTACTGCACACTAGTTTAGTAATTATGTAGTTAAACAATTTGGCAGTTTTTATGCTTCTGCCAGATAATGGATTAATATGAAAGAGATGATTTGTTCACCTTCACGGATCTGTCATTTAATCTTGGTGCAGGGGAGCGGGAATTTTAATCTTTTACTGTTTGGGTAGGTATCAGAAGATTAATAGTTTAGTGCTTAAAATTTTCATCTGTATCTTTGCCACTAAGTATCTTTGGCAAACTATTTTGTTGCTACATAATTCTAACCACCTGGAGACTACCCTCTATATCCTAGAATAGACAATTATTTTTACTATAAAATAACAAAGAAAAGTTACTATGTTACAAAATTCATATTAACATGTTCAGCAGTTTTCAGCCAAGTTATTCAAAGTCTGATGAGGTAGTTACTTTTTAGATATAGTCATCTGTTGATAGAAAGAACTATTCTAATAAGTAATTAATATATCTCCATTGACATTTGTGTACCAGTTGTTTCTAGGAAACAGTAGACTTGGAATGTTAGTTTTGGGGATTTATGTTTAGAATAGTAGTATATGCTTGAGCATCTGATAACATATTTAGAAAACACTGGATTTTATTTTAATGGCCTCTGTTTCACTCTGTAGGGAATTAAGTAGTTTTCTGTTTTTTATATGTCATTTATTACCAAATATTTGGTATCTTCCTGTGTTGTGTCTTGACACTTTTTTAGTGAACAAAGAAAATATCTCAGTTATGGTGGGGCTTTTATTCTAATAAGAATGATAGTTATGATGGTGTAATATGTTTGAAGATAATTGCCACCAGAGGGGTAGAGTATAGAGCAGGTGAGAATCATTAGTGGTTACGTAGGTGACTTGCTACAATTTTAAATATGATGGTCATAATAAGGTTCAGCAAAGAATTCAGGGAAGTAAAGGAAATGGACTGACAAATATTGCAAACAAAGGAACCAGTCAGGATTGTGTCTGTCCTGTGTGAGGAACAT